GTGTTTTTTTTTAGATTGTTACTAATACCCACAAAGGAATCAACAGGTATAAAGTTCCCAAAGATTCTTCTAATAAGTGCTTTCCGCTATTTTTTTTTTGTTTTGATCTCAGCAACACATCAATTACGAAACTTCCCTACATCATCACAGACCAACCCCATTGGGTAAATGGAACATTCTCCCAACTGGGCACTTATGACGTCAAGATTAAGCTTCCTTCAAGAAGATGACAACATTGTCTATAAAAATCATGGGATAATTTTGCTGCTAAATTGAATTGAATGTATTAATAAAAAAAAAAAAAAAGGAAAATGAAAGTTAAGATTGATTTTTAAGTGGTTATTTTATTTGTCTCTATGGCTATAATTTGTTGCTCAAAATGGACAGTTTACTTTCACTCGTCTTTTTTTCCTAATATGGTTGTGATTTTGTGCTTATACCCATATTATAAAAAAAAACTTTTAGTTGTAGTTTAAATTTAAAGATATTTGAATTTTTTTTTTTTAAAAGAGCTTTTACTAGAATTATAACTCAAGCTTAGGGGCACAATGACGAGTCACATTGCCTGGGGCCAGAAAGTATTGGGGCCCATGCATTTTTTTAGTCGATTATGAGGGGCCACTTCAAATATTACCGTAGTGTGTTATACTACTAAAATTTAAATGTCAGTTTGTTGTGGAGCCCGGCTGTGGAACATTTTGGGTCGGGAATTGATATTGAATGAAAGAAAGTGTTGTCATGCGAGTCCACTTAGGACATTTTTGTGAGTTAAGAACAGGATGTTACATTGTTTATTTGTGGCAAAGACATGCCAAACCAGTCACTCGTCGCAAAAATCGATTTTGAGTTAATAATACAGGGTTAAAGTGTAAAACAGGAGCTATAAAATGGTAAAAAAAATCATTCAAATCTGACATTTCCTTATGAAGTTACAAGCATTTAAGCATACAGCTGTTTAAAGAACAATATATGAGAAATCAGCCTTCAAAGTTTATGATTTCAGGCATTTCTCATGCAGAAACTATTACAAAATCATTAAAAAGTGTTGTTTTAACATTGTTATTGGGAAAAATAACAGCACAGCATGATGTATAGATACATAAACCTTAGTTTAGTGAAATAAAATAGATTTTTAAAAATTTTACATTCTAGCATGTTTTTGCTATTTTCTCTGAAACACAATTTGCGACGAGTGACTGGTTTAGCTTGTCTTTGCCACATTTGCTAGTTTTGGGTGTCTTCTACTGGACCATAATATCAAGGCTCTGTTAGAAGAGTGCTGTTTATTAGTAGGAGGGCCTCTGGGCCCCTTTAGACTGGGGGAACAACAGTATTACGCCAATGCCCGGTGAAAATTGCTAATTGCTGAATTGTAATATATTTATTTTAAGTATACTTTCATTTAGACAAAATTATTTAATTTGATGCTCTTGATGTAATCTAGCCATTTTATTCATAAATTTGGTCTGTGCAGAAGCCTTTTATAGAATTTGGTTGGTGCAAAAATCTTGGAGACTGATTGATTAAAGACGAAAATAAAATGTCAAAAAATTGTGGTTCTGACACTTCCGACAATATTTATAAGGAAGCTCGTTAGTATTTTTGAGAAATAATTCAATTAAGAGCAGTGATTAATTGCAGTCTAGCCATGGTTGTTACAAGCTCAATATACTGCAACTTGAAATCTATTGAGAATTTCAAAACCAAGCTTGCATATTATAGAAAACAAATGTGTGGTTATGCTTTGACACCTCAGAGGTGTGAGACCATGTGACTTTGATAGTCACCTGATGAGAGACAGAGACAAACAAACAGTCATACATGTACAGTTATCTTAAGCATGCTGCACTTAGGCTCAGAGACCAGGTATGTTACTGTATTCAGTTAAAAAAACATCTGAATGCCTGCATGTTATTTTCAGTGAGTATTCAGCCCCGTGCACTCCCACGCCCACTGAAAATAATGTGCAAACTCTACTGGCATGCTCGCAGGCTAGGCTGACGTTAAGACGAAATCCTCTTGTGTAGTGGGTTCGTAGACTATTAATACAGTTTCATTGCCAACTTTAGGTTTAGTCAAATATTCTCAATGAATATCTACCATGTAATGTTTATAAATGATACTTTCCCATGGCATATTAAAAGTGAAAGAAATAAAACAGATCTTAATAAAAACAGATACATTGAAACGTGTATTGCAAATCTATATATAAAGGAAAATGGGGTTGGTTGGTTGATTGGTGAGTTGATGTGTCCTTAGGGGATCTGATTAATATTCAAAGTATTTTGAGGGGATCCTATCATGGGATATCTTTATCATCCAGAGACTTGAGTTGTCAATGATTCACTAGTCATAACAGACATTGTGAATGGATATCAACCAAGAAAATGTCTACTAAAATAGCAATTAAAAACCAGAGAACCTTTAGGACAGGAAATTTAATTATCATGTAGACAGTCCATTTGACATAAACATCTTCAATGAATTGAAGAATTTGTGAAAAAATGTGATTTCAGAAAAACAATGGCTGTTTAAAAAAATGCATTGTAATTTGGCTTGCATGTATTTTTCCACTCTAGGCATTAACTACTAATCAGTTAAATTGCGCAATGTCTAGCAAAACACAGTATTTTAATTTTAAAAAATGAATCTATTTTATTCTCATCCGTTACATTTTGCTAAACTAGTGGTAGGCACTGCATGACAGTACACAGCACCCACCTCAGACCCACCTTGGTTGAGGCTGAGAAAGGTGAGGATATTTTTAGAATATGCCACCTTTAAAGGCCTGGAAATGGCACTCTCATACTTTAAAATGTTTTTCTATTTGTCTTTATGATGTGATTCAACCTAAATTTGCTCAACTCTCAGCTTCAACCAAGATAAAAGTAAATGTAAGTATGTGGAACGTCTAGATGCTCAAAAATGGCACTCTCACAGCACTTTAGAAAATGTACTTCATGGTTTTATGTCATATTTAACATTACATAAAACATGGTTGACCGCCAAAACACTGTTTTACATTTCACTGACCACCTTACTGACCCCTTGACTATTTACTGACCTCTGAGGGTATCTGACCCCCATGGGATCTGCCAAGGGATCAGCACATACTAGATTCCCTGGTATATTTCTATCCATTGCTCTTGTGTGTTTCAGCTGAGTGTTAAAACTTAAAATGCTAGTTTTTATAGCGCACCGTCATTAAAATGCGACGTTTAAGTTATTGGTCCTGTGTGCAATATGGTGCATGTGTATGTTAGAGAATGCAATATACTTTTCAGAAGAGAGGGAATTACAGTATCTCCAGGTGTAAAACCTAATTTACCATAAGAATTTCACTGGAAATAAGTCTTAGGGCTTTCGTGGGATGTTCTTATGAGTATTTCACACCAATCCAATCCAACTCGCCAACTGCAGACTGTATTGCTCACTAAACCATGTCTCAGTGTGAGGAGTAGATTTGTTACTGGATTGTAACATGGAACCTTAAGTTAACACGTTGGCTGCCAGTGATGAGTATATTCGCCCACAGGGTGTGCTGAGGAAGCCAGGACGAGTATACTTGTCAAAATCGGGGTAACATTCCAGCGTTTATAACTTCTTTGTTATACATTGTAGAACCGCAGACTCAACGGCTGGTAGTTCGGGGAAGATACACCTAGACGATAACGTACACATATGACGTGTTTGTTGTACTATGTTTCCGGTAGTACACTCGAGCAGCACAAGGGGGGGGGGGCCCTTTGAACATATACCAACCCATACAAAAAGCGGACAAGATAACTCGCACTTGGCATAGTCAATAAAACGTTCTATCACAGAGCCGTCGACGAGTATACTCACCCCCTAATATTTTCCCGCAAATTTACTAGACACATCATTTTGATGATATATGACTAGATAAAATATTCAAAAAAGTATATTTGTACATGTAAACTTGTTTATGACACACGGAAAGGAACCTTAAAAATAGGTCTGGCAGTCCAAGTGTTAAATTGGAAAGGTGAGTATCTTAACCACTAAATCACTCCGCTCCCTAGAAGGCAAGTTTAGGATTTTGAGCACAAATATTTCTGTTCAAAAAGTTTCTATTCCATTCTTTATGGTATACAATCATTTTCTTGGGATTCAAACTGAACATTTATGTGACTCATTTCTTTTGGTCATAGGAGAGAGGTGCGAGTCACTCTCAGCTTGGCTAGACTTCCAAACTAATCATTCACTTAGATCAAGTTATCCAAGGCACAGCTCAGTATTTGCCAGGGGCCTCAGGACATAAATCCCCAAAGTACAAAAAATGCAGGGAAAAGGAATCACATATAGATCCAGATTCTAGAATTGTAGCCAAGAGAATTTTCTCTAAGGAATCAAATACTTAGCAATGAGAGAAGATCCATATTAGCACTCAAACAAGCAGATAAATAATGAATGATCCTGACATATATTGAATGGCTTGTCATAAACTATCACTGAGAACTTATCCATAAAAGGAGCAGAGATACTTTAGTCCATAACAGGGCAAAGTGTGGCCTAAGTGCGACATGCAGACACAATTTGTTTGCAGCCTTCAAAAATAAATTAAAAACTCTCTGTGTGGCTTGCGTACCATCTTTGGATACAAAAAAAACCAATAACCAGTTAAAAGGTACATAATATCAAAACTGAGCATAAAGCTGTACAAAAGCAGTGCAGGAAGGATTCTGTAAGCACACTGGGGACATCAAAGTTTGAGTGAGTCGTTCCGTCCCTCCCCAACCAGGGTTACGGTTATTATTATTATGATTTTTACTCGTCTTTCTGAACAATCGTCCAGGACCAGAAATATGCGCGTCTCACAAACACACGTGTTGTTTCACTAACGCATGTGTTTGCGTACATTTTTACACGGTTGATTTGTGGGACCTAATAGAAAGGTCCATTTTTTGTTGTTTTAATTTAATTTTGGAAAATGATAGAACTTAATACAATTAACAGAAAAAGACCCGAAAAATTCTTACCAGTTCAGACATTGAACTTGTATTCTTTTCCATCAGTATTATTAAGAACTACTGTCTTGGACTGGCTCCAGTGAAGACGGACAAGTTTCAGAAGATTTGGTGAAAGCGTCCCAGATGCGATGGACTTGGTGTTGTAACATTTGATACACTTCGTTGAAGAGCTCAGCATTCCACCTAATAGCGATGAGCCGGTCTGAAAGAGAAAGTGGGGACGCCATCACTACACAATTTAAACCATTTCTTTATTTAGGTGGTTAATAAAAACAATGCTTATGTATTATTATATGTTTATAATGAACTGATTGCAAAAATGCAAAAATAAAAAAGCAAATGAAATGAAATTCTTTGTAATATTTAATCAAATATGTGTTACAGTATATTTGTAAAATTTAAATAATCATAAAAATGAACATCAAGTCTACACTAAATTCACATATTTCATCAATGAAATCAAACCGCTGCCAAACAAAACAAACTCTGGTAATATAGCAATTAAGTTTGGACCACATTCATTAAATGATATACACTAAAATGTAAATCACAAACAGCATGCCATGGGTATTTAATGCAGGTTTAAAACAATGGCAAATGACCTGACATAAAACATCTTTTTCTTGCCAATCGTAGTTAGGAGATAATAAATAAAAAAACAATTGTAGTATACAGATTTGAAAGATATAATACCAGTGAAATATAATTAAAATTGGATCAAAAAATTGCAGAGACAAAATCTTGATTTTTTTTGCGGATTTGAACCCTATATATTCGGTTTATAAGGCAAGCGTCTTTACTACAAAGCTTACATCCACAGGTGTAGGCTGAGGGGGGAGGGAGGGGAGGCACATCCTACCCAATGGCAGAAAATTAATTTCACTATGTGAGCTAAATACTAGAAATAAGCATTGAATTTTTACTGAAATAGGGATTGAATTCTGCTCTATGGGACTTAGATTCCACATTCTCCCTTTTTGCACCACCCTCCCCCACCCCTCCCTCCATGCTGAAACCAGCCTATGCCCCTGTTACAGCCTTACATTCCATTGAGGTACGTACCTCCAGCACAATAATGTAGGCTCTTGGCAACTGAAGCTTAATATGATTGGGAGTAACAGGTTGTAGGCACTGACATACTGACAAAACGCTAACATGCATCAACAGGTGAGGATCAAAATATAACTTAGCTCATTTTACAAACCCCCAAGCAGGGAAGTATGCTAAAGAGTAGGGATATGGGCAGTACATTCAACCAGAATTGACCTTGGAAGTTTTCAATCCTCTACAGATCGTTTGTAATAAGATAACAATAAATAATAGCAATAAAAATAAAACAATAATAGCAATAAAATAAAAATAATTAATAATAAAACAATATTAAAGCAATTAGTCAGGTTTTGATATACACTATAGGAAACAGAAGCTGAAGGAGCCATTATTGGGTTGAAGGCAATTTTTAAAGAAAGTAATGACTCAAAGCTTCTATTTTCTATAGGGTACAAAATTACTATAATTGCTTTATAAGTCAGTTGTGATGTCCACTGGTCACCTATTCTAGGGCCCTTTAGTCAAACTGCTGGTTGTAGAGTGGTTCCTATTATTCATAAATCATAAACAGCTGGTTGCAGTGGCCGGTTGCTCAGAGATTACTGTGCGTGTGCATTAGCTACGTGAATTAGAATGATTTGTTTGTAGTACATGAACTGACACTCTTTGCACAGCTTTTTGCGATGCGAAGAAAATGAATAAATTGATTGTGGTTAATGAAGTTTATTAGGGGTTATTAAGTAGCCATAGCCTCATGTTACATATTTGTTTATATGGATCAAAATATTGTAAGCTTTTTAATATTTTTATTTAATTCATTCTTTCTTTCGAGTAGATAGCAGTTTTAGTAGCGCAGTACTGATTTTCAAAATGGTCCAGTTTTCTTAACAAAGTTAAGAATATAAACTGTTTAACAGAAGTAAAATATTAAACAGAAATGAATAAAACAAGGCACAAAAAAATAACAAAAAGTTCATATTGCAAATAACCTTATAATAAAAATTTAAAATAAATTAGCACAAATGGTATTTTTGAAATTGACTATGGTCATATTAGTTGCATTTTTCCTGATTTCGTTTGTTAGATTATCCAAAGTTTGGTTGATCGGTATTGAAAGGTTCGTTTTCCTTGAGTATTTTCGCAGTTTGATACTACTAAGGTTTTACTGCTTTGACATCGAGTGCATTTGGGATGGACACCATCATTAAACATATACATTGATCATAATATGATGGTGCATAACCATGTACAGGTAAACAATTAAATATAACTACAAGTAAATGTTCTCTATATCTTTCATTTACTGGTTTCCAGCTAATGTATCTAATATATCACTTATTGGAGTTTTTAAATCTACAGATAGCAGAATTCTACCTAATCATAGTAAAATTTAAAGTGAATTTAAGTTTTGAGTATTATAGTTCGACCAGACTGAACTGCAGTAATCAAAAAGTGTTATTACAAGTGTATTTGCCAACAAAGAGTATGAAGAGGTAAATAATATTTTATGTGACGTAAACACCAATTCGTTTAGATACCTGTGTCGAAATATAATTTATTTGATCCTTCCATGTTAATTGAGGATTAAAAAATAATACTTAAGTATCTGAATGAATCTACTCTTTCAATGCAGTCCCCATTATTGTAACTGAAAGGTCTTTAAAATTATTTAATATGTGATTAGTACTAAAAAAACATGAGTTTAGTTTTCTTAATATTAAGAGTTTATTTAACCACTTAACTATTTTATTAAAATCAGTATTTAAATTATTTTGAAGTGTTACAGAATCAGAGGAGCTGCAGAAGAGAGTAGCATCATCTGCATACATTTTTACATGAGACAACATCAGGGAGAGATATAATGAATTATTCAGTTTTTCACCTTGGTGATGGTGATAATGATGATGATAGTGAAAATAATAATAATAATAATAATAATAATAAAACTAATGTAAAACACTGAAAGCATAAGTCAATCATCAAAATGCTGCAAGCTGTTGTTACAAATATCATTCACTTCAATTCAAATGCATATCATGCCAATCAATTTAAATTAATATAGAATTGATTATTATTTATTATTCAATAATTCATAGCAATAGTAAGTCATAAATTAAAATCAATAGTTGATGATTAATGATAATAAATGACTAATAATTTATCAATTACTTGTACTTAATAATCAATGACCTATATTTAGAAAATAATTAATCACTGATAATTTAAAATTATAATAATCAAAATTGATAATAATTTTGAAAATATTAATTGCTAGTAATTCAATCAAAGGTTGATAACTTCAATATTTTAAAGATCAACAATTGATGTACAAGTAATAAGTAAAATCAATTATTAATTCATGACTGACAATTGGTAACTAATAATAATCAATAACTGACAATCGATGATCAAAATTTATAACAATCAATGACTGACAATTGATAACTATTAATAATTAGTACCTAATTGATAACCAATGACTAATAATTGATGACTAAAAAGTATGACTAATTAATAATGTAATAACAGCATAATAAAATATTCACAGATAACTGATAATCAATAACTGATAATTATCAACAATCGACTGATAATTGATTTTATTCAATAATTGATAATAATCAATTTTAAAATGCTGCAATATGCAAACTGACAAGCAATGCAGAGAAAAAAAATGAGGAATATCTATACTACCTGAAGCTGATTCACCAAGGAAAATGGAGATGAACAAATGAGAAAGAAAATCATTTGAACAGCTTTGTCATGGAGAGGCAAGTATAAAAAAAGCAAGCCTACCCTAGACATAGGAAGAGCAGGAGAGAAGGGCAGGGTGCTTGGAGCACCAAAGAGGGAGGCTAATCTATTTGCACCATTTATCTGCAATTTAAGAATGTGTGGTTTTGCAAAAGAGTTGGAATATAATAGTTTTAAAAGAACAGAATATTTCAATCATAAATATAATACAAATGAACTGTAATAGTTTTATAAATGTACAAAAATGTTTACCAAAAAATATTTCACAACAGTTCTACTGTTTAGATGTTAATATAATGATAATAATTAATATTTAAATTAAATAAATTAGATTACCAATAATATTATAAACAATAACATCAATAGTATGATTATTCATTTTAGGCTGCAAATATTTTTATATTAAAAGGTACAGAAATGAAAAATATTACTATTGATGTTATTATTGATGACCTAGTAATAATATTACATATTAATAGCATTATATACTGTTAATAATAAATAACTCTATTTAAATTCAACTAAATAAATAAATACAAATACTGTAAAAAAAATCAAAAGGAACATACTGTAGTGTAGCTATGAACTTTCATATTTAAAAAAATGTTTTAAAACTGGTTATATGAAAATACTTCCTTCAAATAGGTTAGATTACAACAATACCGATTTATAACTTTATATAGTATGTTACTCACTTCTGCAACATTTATCACAATTTCTACAGATTTCGCATAATAAAAAAAAACAAAACTATTTTTAGCTATTAGTATTATCTTACACTACAAAACTGGTTAGTACTTGAAAACCTTTTGACAAAAAGGGGAAAGCATTGTAAAATTTACTGGTTATTTAAATGTTTATAAATAAAAGTAAAAAAAAATGTATGTATCATGCTAGATTGAAAAAGCACCTTATTCAGGCAAACATGAATCAATACAAGTAAATCAACAACTCATCAGAAATCATTCACTTCCTGGTCAGGTATTGGCAACTATTGATTGGAATAAGTATTAATCATAACTATTCAACAAACAACTTTTATCAATACATGATCAGATTATTTCTCAAAATTTTGATTAAACATTTGCAACTGGTGTAGTTTGAGCTGAGCGTTTGTCAAACAGGTTTTGCTTTTGTTTCTTGTGCCAAAGAACCTGAGCTGTATTCTGGCTGCTGCAGAGTCCACAGAGGCCAAGCCGTAATTTGAATTCCAAAAATTGGAAAGACAACAAATGAAAAAAAAATTCAAATGATTTTGACAAAGAGGATATATAGGATACCCTTAAAGAAATTTATGTTCCTCTGCTAGCTTAGGGCACTGAAATTTCAAAATTGCTAAAATTAATGAAGGAGATGCCAAACCATGGCCTCACCCCCTGAATCTGAGAGGGGAAGAACAACAAGATGAGGTCACAAGAAAGTTTTGGCTCCAGAAATTTGTTGACAAGGGGTTCTGGCATATCCAACAATGGGGTCAGAACCAAGGGGATGACTAGAATCTTGGTCAGGGTCCTGAAATAAAAGCCTCTGTGGGTTCACAGGGAGCATTTTGAAGGTTGAGTGTGGCCAAGGATTGTATTATTAGACCACAATATTAGGGATTAGCAGTCAAAATATTGTTATTTGGATAGCGAATTATTTATTTTCGATCCGATGTCGACGTGGCATCAGGGTCTAGGCCTATCCCAACAGGGGTAAATTCCCCTACCCCCTGCTAGCACAACCAATCAATTTCCATCTGTCACACAACTGATCAATAGCTGTAAACTTTAATATTAATACATAACTTCAAATTTAAGTTCTGATAAGTCATTGTTCACTTGTAATGCCACAGGTTGTATAATATGAATTATGGAATTCTACAGTAAAAATAACCGTTTATAATAAAAGCCAAATCAATAACAAATCATCGAAAACCAATAATCAATAAACAAACTAATCAATACCTTATTAGACTACTGCAGTATTATTAATAACCTTTAAACAAATTTAAATTAAAACCATGACCCCAAATGCTGAGCATGCTACAAAAATACAGAAGCATCCATTATAAATAATAGAAGTAATTATTAATTGGGAGTTAGAGGGTCATGCCTGGGACTTGTAACACAGGTCTAGGATATTCACCAGAGCTTCAGCTGGCACTGTGAAAAAACCACCTAGCTGGCTGAAAATAAACTGAAATGAAGTGAAAATAAAAGTTTTGATAGAGCTCAGCTTAATGATAATAATATGAAAGATTAAAATTGAGTATTTTGGTAGCACAAGTAAAAGAAGATAGATAATTTGCCCATTTTACACAATATATATATATTTATATGAATAAATGCAAATATTTTATAGACTTTAACAAAATATATACAGTACACCCTCAAATTTGAGATCCCTCTAAAGAAAAAAGAAAAAAAAAAACACTTTTTCAAAGAACTAAATAACAATCATCAATCTTTTATCATCTTACTGTAAAATACAGTAAGAAAGTGGTGAAAGCACAAACAGAACCTGTTAAACCTTTGACTGTCAGATTCATTTGTCAAAGAACAGTTGTGAAACAAGTATAATCTACTATATAGTAAAACCAGTGGGAAGAGAGGGTGGGGTTTCGCTGCCTTTCCCTTTTTCCAGCATATGCTGGTACCAATGTATTCCTGGGTAGAGAGAGATAAATATCAAAGTAAATTGTTTTGCCAAAGGACACATGAGATTTGCAGAGCCAGGGATTCAAACCTCTAACATCAAGGCTGGGAGAAAGCATTAACTGCTGTGTTATAAACACATTCAATGCCACGCCTTTTGCACAAGTTTTGCCTCATATGCCAAAACAAGTTTACATAAAGAAAACATACATTTTTCAAATAATATTTAATCATAAATCATTAAAATTTGTGTTTAATAAATTGCCGGGTAAATTTGGGGACGAGTAAACTCGTTCGCTAGCAATAGGACAATTCTTTTTTATTGCCTGTGCTAAGTGCAAGTTTTCTCATCCACTTTTTGCACACAGGTTGGTATATGCTCAGAAGGTGACCACACCCGTAGACAAAGACATGACATTCCTCAAAAAAGAAAACCTTAGTTTATTTCACAGATTCTATATGTAGGATATGGTTTTATGACAGTCGCATTTATGGTTATCATGGATCCTCAGTCTGAGGTACAATTAGATCTGACGTATGACGTATTACGTCTACATACAGGAATAGTATGATGGTTCTTTAAACAAGAAATTATGAATTACTTCAATACTTGTTTATTTAATGTTGTGACTGAAAACAGTTCCATCATTTAATTGGGACTGACAAATGAGGGATAATAAATGAATTTGAGGTGGATTTGTTGATTGACATATCACAGGTATAAGTTAACAACCAATAATTAATGGTAATGAACTGTTTCTTGTTAAGACCCAACTCTTTACTCCCAAGGGATATTTTAACTGGGAGTAACCTCCTGATCCGATGACATGTGAAAATAAAGGTGATGAAAATAATCAATCAAGTCTTCATGATCTTTTCTCATTTGGTGAGAAATATATATACATATTTTTAATTTATAGATTAACTTGTACATTCATAGAAAAGGAATGATATTAAAACTATAAAAAATAAATATAGTATTTTAATGACTAAATACACTTAACAATGAGGGGAGCAAATGTGATTTATAGAAGTATAAGGGACCAGATAACACCCACACGTTTTAACCGCAGCTCCTACCAAGAGGTCATCTGAAACATTTTTGATAATTTCACTTATGTTGTTATTGTGATCCTTCGTTTCTATATCATACAGCTGGTGCCGAAAACCAATTCAGTACTACACAGCATACTTAGCTACTCTTTCCTTCAAAAACTTAGTATATATAAAATACAAGAGATCTTAAACCGGGGGTTACGATATCACCGTCTAGTTGGAGCAGCAAACAACATCTTTCTTGTATGGATGTATTTGGTCCTCTGCAAACATGACTGATACATAAAATATACTGACTGTAGTCTCTCAATGGGAATGTCCACACAATTTCTCCTATCCATCTGGTGGTTACAATGACGTAGCTAAGGGGTGTGCATCCCACCTCAGTCTAAGGGGTGTGCACCCCACCCCAGTCGTTACCCATTGAAAATGTTTAAAGCAAAAAAAAGTCATGCTCAGGTAGATAAAAATCACCTCATATAAGCTTTTTTTTTTTCAAATTGTATAGCGCCAATTTCCAAAGAAAAAAAAAATCCATTTTCAGAGGCGCTTTGAGAGCTAGTGCCCCGCACTTAATCATCAATCCCCCTTCACCTTGTCACCCACCATCAGCCCCCACATTTCAAGTCTCCTAGATACGCCACTAAGTGGTTGCTCTACATTCGTCCTTTGAAGAAATACTTATAAATATGTTATTGAAAAAAGGAACATATACAAAAAATAGAAAAAGGATACATAAAAAAGTCAAAGAAGACTATGTTGCAAAGCATAAGAATGAACAGATGTCAATGAAAACTCAGAGTGAAAGCTAAAATGAAGGGAACGGGAACAGAGATACAAGAAGGAAGTTTTCAATTACAAACTGCAGAAGCGAAGGAAAGGGAAAACATGATCCCATTGGAAAAAGATGAAGAGGATGACAGACACGGCGAATAAAAGCCTACAAAAATACACTCGACCTTTGTGTGCCTCGAGGGCGGTCACAAAAATGAAAATGAAATGCTGACAGGAACGACAACACGTGTTGGATTATACCGACTGTGACTCAAGTCAGTCCACACTATCAGATTTTCTGACAAAAAAATTGTTGTATGCCCATATTATAGTCATGATGTGCCCATATATGGTTATGACATGATGTCAACATGTCATATTTAGTAATGTCACATGTTTTTGTCAAATAAAGTTTGATAGACTGGACAGGGAGTCACAGATATTTTATCAACTTTTTAAATCATCATCGCAATTTATATGTTAATATGTAAGATTTACTAAAATATATTTTTTTTTTCAAAAATGCTATGATAATCCTACCTGCCAAATACAGAGCTTGGCATCTCCAAATGAATAGGAGGCGAGGTACTTTCCATCAGGGGAGAAAGCCAGGCAGGTAACAGCAGATGAGTGACCAGATATTTGCTACAAAGATGATAAAAAAAAAATAATTAAGAAATCAATCACTTATTTAAATTATTTAGTAATCAATGAAATAAATCAATAAACAAATAAAACCACAATTAAATATACTTAAGGGTTGCTAAACAGGCAAATAGAATAAAATCAACTAGTATAGTAGTAGTTGATTTGACTCAAAGATTTTGAATCTTTTGAACATAACTCATTTTTAATTCATTGGACGAGAATGTTAAAATACTTATCTGCCGATAATAATTTATTTAAGAGTGAAAGCAGTAAGCCTTGCTATTAGAAACAAAACATACAAAAGTGAATTAATATATTTGAAATAAGAAACAATATTTGTTATACAAATATACAAAAATGGTCAGTATGTTTTATTTGTACAGTATCTTTACACTTTTTTTGACAAAAGTACTTATTTCTAAACATCAGTTATTCAGGGGTCCCAGAAATTGGGATGGCGTCCAGCCATCAAGCAAGCAAGTAGGAATCTCAGGAAAATAATCAATCTCCCACAAGTTCATAATATTTGCCTAATTTTAATACTTTACAATCACTTGTCTCTCAGAAGTCAGTACCAATAAGTACTGTATTGCCAAACGCAGCAATATAATATAAAACATGTTAATTTCATTTAACCATCTCTTTTGGAAGGGATTTCTTCTAATTTTGGACCCCCAGTTAATGTTCCTTTTTGAAGGCAAAGTTAGTTGCAGAAATTTAGTTTAAAAAAAAAAAAATTTACAATGATTAATACATCAACAAATAACAAATTAGATGTATTAAAAAAAGGTATTTTTCTTTATCATTGAAAACAACCAGCTGACAAAAACCAAATTGAGAATGAACTACAAGCATTGACCCTGATTCTAGGATATAGGGGCTTTACGAAAATACCACAAGCTCCTGTTAAAGAAATATAGAACTATTACCTTTAGCCTTCTTGTTCAGTGTGTAGACCAATTAGTCATATATGACCTTACTTTATTACTTATAAGGGACCCTAGGGGCTTAGAAGGGGCCCAGGGGAGAAATTGACTTATTAATATAGGGAAATGTTATGCACTTTAATAGAGCTAGCAATGCCCAAGATTATTGCAGTCTAGTATTTAAAGAAATAACATGTCCTAGATAATTTGACAAATAACTTTTGATCTAAAGTTCACACTCCACAAAATTTAAAGGTAAGAGGAGGATGGAGATGGGAAATCAAACATGACTATGCTGTTTACAAGTAATGTGTACAGCTAAACCTGACTCAGAACTTACTTAAGACATTTTTTCATCTGATTTCCTTCCGAAAGAGAAAGACAACATTAATGGTTTCAATACGTGATCTTGGTGAAAATTAATGACATAACGAGTCATTACGTCTTTAGTTTACAGTATTACTACATTTTTATTTGAACTTGCTTGGACACAAACTTTTTTCACAGGTTATTGGGTACACATGTTTAAGTGTTGCTGCTGTATTCAGCGCAGGAGCAGGCAACCCTACAGCGTATTTATATAAAACTCCTGGGTGGAAAGAAAAAAAGGATTGAAAACCAGACCTCGAGGTTGGGACACCAAGCCATTCGCGCTGCGCCAGTCCGCTGCAACGATTAGCGCTCCAAAAGAACTTTACAATTCACTCTATAATTTAATATGATGGATATGGTACAAAACAAGGTGGCTGAATAGAAGCTGCAGAGCTAACAAGCTTGAATAAGAAAAAACAAACATTTTGTATGCTTTGTGTATTTTTAAATAATAAATAAAAAGATCCAAGAATATCATCTGGTCTGGTTGATGTTATATAGGTGTAAATTTCAATAAACCATCAACATGGTATTATTTTTTTTTTTTTATAGTATTTTGGTTTAATATCAAGAAATTCATACCTATAATTACAAAATAATTTCCTTTCCAATTAACAAATTGCATAAATAAAACTGATTCAATATTCTTTGCTTTTCTTTAAAAAAAAAACCCCCCTAAAAAAACTGTTTTATTTCATGTTGATAACAAAATGACGGGCCTGGTGCTTATCTAAGCCCTTTCACATGTTTTTGTCAAACAAACTTTGATAGCTGGACTAGATTTAACAGTTTAGGCTGATAATGTAATGTATGGCATTTTAAGGATTACTATGCCCAATGTTGATTGTATAGACAACAAATTACACATTTCTGGAAAAACTGTGCAATAAATAATATCGAAAGCTTTAGCTTGTTGAATATATATTTTCATCTTTCAAACCAACTACCTTGGAATTGTATTCTGAAATACCCGAAATTTTTGTGACATGTAGTCATTATAGAACAGTATAAAACGAAAAAGAGAAAATGTTCAAAATGGACTGAATAGAAATCACAATCTATAAATTTGCCAATAAAAACAATTACATTCAGATTCTTATTATTAACTGGAAAATATTCATGCCTGATGACATACATCAATTTCGTCATGATTTTCTCAAAAGGGCTTACTTTTTTACTCTCATTCTTAAATTTCAGTGCCACCCCCCCTCCCAAACACGGCGCACATGCCCACCCTTGACGACCACCTACGCCACTGCATTTTATCAAGCAGAGAATGTTTTTTTCAGACCTGAACAACATGATATCTTTGGCTGAAGTTTGCTTATCATGTGTGTGGATACAATAAGAAAATATTTTTCAACAAATATTCTTCTTGTTTTTCTTTGAGTATGTGAAAGTTGACAATAAAAGTGATTTTATCAATTTAACAATTGATGACTTAAAAGTGTACTTTTAGGTCCATGTCCATGTTTGAGAATTTTCCCATAAAAGAATAACAATATACAGTAATACATAATAATGATGGTAATGATAATGATGATGGTAACAATAATACACATAACAATACACAGTTCCGAACTATATTATGATTTTGTAGATTATATCAATATGAAGGTCCAATGATTATGCGAGTTCGTGAAGTGACCTAGTGTTTAGTGTACTTGGCCACCCCCACATGAAAAAAACGTTGGTAAAAACGTAGCTTGGAATGATGCAATGTAAAAGTGACTTTATCTGTAATAATTAAAGGTATTTTGGGGCTATTTTACCATTAACATGCTGAGTAGCTTTCTGTAATAGTGTTCAGATTGAACACATTTAAAAAAAAAATCACAAAGTAAGTTCTAGAGGAACAACAAGCACTCAAGGGCTGAAAATGGCCCAGGTGCTGCAGTTGAGAACACTAGATAATTGAGATTAATCGAAAATTAAAGATGAATTACCAATTAAGGAAGTTCCCATAGAGCCATGTTAGATTTGAAATTTTCTGTGCCAGGTATTTTTGACCCAAAAAAATGTGTGAGCAGCCAGTATACATAAAATTACCCAACACGCATTTAAGTTAAATTGAGCGAATGCTGCCCAGGAAGAATAATCATGATGTTTTCCCAAGCAGAAAAGCCAAATGTGAACAATGTGACTTAGTTAAATGAACGTGCATCGCAGACATTGGTGGCTCTAGAAATTTGCTGACAGGGCGTCTGACATGTACTGTACGACAGGGGGTCAGATCAAAAGGGCTGACCCCTCCCCCTTCTATGTAAGGGAACAGCAGCACAATTTTACTAAAGCAGAATTACTCTTTGTCTTGTTGAAAATTAATCCAAAGCAAACATGGCCCAAGATTTCCCACGCAGACTAGCACAGCCAGACATTTTTTTTTAACTCTTTTGAATACAGGTGTTTTAAATTTGAATTAAATCAAATAACAAGCACCTTGCACACACCTGCAAACTTTCATTTTCACATTCAATAACTTTTTAATAAACTCACGTTCGATTTTGACGTTTTTGAGTCGTACAGAGCAATGGAACCAACTTTAGCACCAACAGCAATACGCCTGGAGTGTCGACAGTAGCTAACTGTGTTGAAACGACAAACAGCGGGAAACACCTCCTTCAAACCTTTCGCTTTCAGTTGCGCTGAATCCAAACAATGAACGATTATGTCCATTACCTAAGGAAAAGGATATAAAGACTTTAATACTTAACTACGAATCTTGATATAGCAATCATTTTTGGCATTTACCTAGAATATTTAACACTTAAGCTGTGTCCATATTATCATATTTTCTTTGAAAAAAAACAAAAAAACTGTTGCATGTCCATATATAGTCATGATGTGCCTATATAAGGTTATGGTGTGATGTCATCATGACCAGGCATGTCACATGTTTTTGTCAAATAAAATTTGTTAGTTTAAACACTACTTAAGATGCCACAAACTACTTCGGTTATTTTTGCCATGTTAATTCATTGCCTTGTTCTTTGTATGGAACATTGTAAGCTCTTAATTCTGTGTGCATATGCTCATGATAAACAACTAAAGCACATTTTTTTTTAGAAAAAGTTGAGGATTGTCTCTCCGTGAACGAATGGGAAGGTTTAACTATGCATATAGTACAGTATTTGTTATAATAATAGTACAGTGCACCCTTATTGAGGCCCTTTTTAATTCGAGACTGCTTTTTTAAAGAACCAATAACAATCTTCATTTTTTCAACACAAAACTAACCCTCTAATTTGAGACTGAACCCAAGACCACTCTAAATTTTCAGGTCGAAAATGTGGTTTTGAATTGGAGGGCAAACTGTATATAGTGTTAGCAGGATAGTAATAGTACTTGTATTGGTTTTCCTCTATTTAAACAACACTTAAGGAATCGAGGTTTTCATGGTATTTAGCAGCTTTGGTCTTTAATCAGAAAAAAAATAATCATTATAAAGGTAAAAGGTGGTCTTTATCTAGGGCCCCGGAAAAGTGGTCTTTAATGGGAGGAAAAACTGTATTAGTAAATGCTAAAACAAAATGATCCAATACCTCTATCATGTGTTCAGCAACATCATTAGGCATCTTATCAATTAGAAGCTCCACTATTCTTAAGATCTCTGCCTTAGCCCTTACCAATGGGCTGTTTTGCAACTGTGCTACAGGAGTTTGCGCCATGTTTACCTGAGCAACGTACCTAGCAACCTCCCTGGCCATCGTGATGATAAACGCTGCCGGCCTTGCGGTTGCAATGAGTGAGAGTGCATGATGGGAACTACGGCAGCTGTCAGCAGCAGGCGTGATTGGTAGGCCACTTGTCATACTGTATCAAACGAAAATTTAATGTTTAAAATAACGAAATCTATTTTAATAAATTTCATCTCTAAAATATTGCAAAATAATGGAAAATACTATTGTTTATCTCTTTAAAATTTGTGTTGTTGCTCCTTTGACAAAGTTTGGTAGCATCATAGAAGACTTGATTAATACTTTACTATCAACACAAGAAACTAGAAAGTCTATCAAAGCAGAACTCAATATTATCTTTATTATATTGTTTAAATCTTTTTAAAATATTACTGTGAATCCTTTAAAGTTAAACATAAATTTTAGTTGCAGCTGTACTTCATTGTACATTGGCCATACAACAATTTTTTGGTCCTCTAGGTTTCTTTGGAGATTGTTCCTCCATGCACACCTAGATATGAAACTGGTCTCTTAACTGGTGGGGAAAATATTTTTATGTTTATCACTTTATAGCTCTGTGCACACAAAAAAAGTGTTGTATGCCCATATAAGGTCATGATCTGCTTATATATGGTCATGGTGTGATGTAATCATGACCATATTTAGTCAAAAAATATGAACAGGGCTTAACAAATATAATTCATTTCAAAAAGTGTATTTGGTTTAAGCTGCATTCGCATTGAACCCAAACTGAAATTTGGACTGCATTTCTGATGCACTAAACGCCAGCATCTTATATATTCTTACACACATCCGATTTTCTAATCTGTTTGGCAGGTTTTCGGATTCAAATATTCTGATTTGGTGCGAATGCATATTTAGTTCACTCTACTTGGTGATGTTTAGCCTACCTTACAGAGAAGAGGCTTGTGTTACTGCAGAGCTCAAGCAATCCTAGTAGCACAGCAGACACATCCATATAAGGCTCCCAGACTGTAAATCCCCGGCCAATCAGATCAATAGCAGCTCGTCGGATAGGTGTATGAGCTGGCAGTCGTGGGCTGGGAGGTTGCAGAAGAAGGAATGAAAGTGCCTTGGCTGAAGTTAAAAAAAGAGCATTGGATTATAAAATGTCATCATGTTGGATTACGGGTATTATTAAAATAAATAAGGTAATAAATATTTTTTGGCTGGTAACTTACTGAACAGAAGACCAATTTTCTCAAGCATTCACACAAAACACTTAAAATGCTTTTTGATTTGGAGTTCATATTTAACGTTCACTTAGCTGACAACCATTCTGGGCGGCCGAGACAAAACTGGTGTAGCTGAAGTACACACGCATATCCCTAGCCAACTCATACAGTTTATGTTGTATTCATGTTCCAGCATTAATTATTCTTTACTTTTAACTGACTTTCAGAATTTTATAAAATTATTTTATGAATGTGTTTTTGCTTTTTACTTGCCATAATACAGTTTAACAAGAGAACTAAAAATCTAAAATTAAGACACAAAACATGACCGTACCAGTATGTCTTGCTAAGGAATGGTCATTCAGTCCAAAACCCTCCTGGATTGGGCGACGTGAAGTAACCTTTTGATTGGGCTGAATCTCAGCTCCAAACTCTGCTCCGATGACACCAAGCATAACTATGGCTGTCGCTTGTTTCCGTCTCGACTCAAACGATGACGATATCCTCTTGGTTGGAAACTCACTGCACAGAATTTCCTCTTCTAAATCTGTTTCACTGTCGTTGCTTGTGCTGTCGGACAGGTGCTCTGGGGATTGCTGGGGCCTTGGTGTAGCAGGGGCACTTTGCACTGAAATCAAACTCTCCCCGGGGTCAACATAGTTCGGTAAATATGGAGCCCATGTATCAATGACATTTGACCTTCCATCAGACCCAATCCTACGGAGTTCTGCTAACAACAGGGCCTGAGCGGCTTCACGCACCTGGAGAGCAAATGGTTTTTCTTTTATAAATTACACACCAACATGTAACATTTTTTAGTGGTTATAGTATGTATTTTTAAAACAATTATTAAAATTATAATAATTCATTAGTTATACAGTGCATCATGTAAAAAGTCACAATAGCTGATAACAATACACCTTAATGCAAATCTAGTAAAATAAATTAAAAAAAACAATGCTCCCTCATTTGACATCTGTCAGTTAATTAATAAATAATAATAATAAAAGGGCTTCCCCAAATTATAAAAAATTATTGGGGTACTGTACTTAATAAGCAAAATGACATTGACAACCAGGGTTGGTCAATCGGTCGATAAGTCATTTTTTTTTGCTATAATCCTTACCCTGAATTCTATGGCCCATTAATAATATAAAAGTGAATAATATTTTTGGTTAGAAAACATTTCATAAATTTAGAATGAAAATTTTATTTTAAAACTTCAGTAAACAGTACCTCAAGGCACCTATCTTGCCATCTCTTAGCCAACATCTCCAGCAGCGGAGGCTTAAAGAAAGTGCTGCCTAGTAGGTCAGGCAGTAGCACACAGTGTAGGGCTGCAAGCAGACTCCACCCTTGCTTGATCTGGGCCTGCTCTGGGGTCAGCTCGGCTTGGCTGTCTGCTTCACTAGAGGATGCACCAGCGGTGTCTGCTTGATCCTCAGTGTCACTTCTTGAACTTACTCTGGAAGATTTCAGTTTGATATGTCAATGTGACACTACAATTCAGAATGGAGTCCTCCATTTTACATGAAAGGGGTATTTTAAATTTATTGATAGAATAAAAAAGAAAAACCGAAGATTCAATGATAGCTGTAAATAGGTTTCAAGAATCATGAATAAGTTTCCATATGTCATACATACCTATTTTCTGGATAATATTATTAAAAATATTAGAAACAACTAATAATACAAACAAAAGAAAATTACAACTAACAACCGACATGGATCAAGGGTGAAATATAGAAATAAAATCCTCCACCATCCCACCCCAATTACATTTAATAATATGTCAGTTGTGCATATATTGCCAATACCTTTGTGCAATCAATTTATTACCATATCAGGCAAATGCATAAAAAACACTTGCTTAACTCCCTGGTGGGTGTATTTCATAATGTATCTCTACTGATTCGATTGGGAGTCCCCAAAATTTTGTCAAATTCTCCCATATTTAAAACAACACCAAAATATCAAAACCACCAGACTTGCCAAAGTGTCTAATTATTGATTTTTTTCTAGTATTCTAGCTAATGTCCGAGAACGTTGGTATATATAAAAAAAAATTTTATGTTGCTGAATTTGGAAGCAAATTAGAATTAATCCAAAAAACAGTATATTATGAAATGCAAAGCAAATAACTAATATGGAAAGTCCTGACCTTCAAGCTGACAGACAGATTCGCTGCCAATGCTCCTATTGACAGATTTAACTCACCTCCTCCTCGGTTTTCTGAACTGAGACAACTGAACAAAAGTGGCATTGTTACGGCTCATCAGAGTGTTGGCAACGGAGATGACAGACAACAGATGCTGTGTGGTAACGGACCGTGACAGTTCCCAATGACCTAGGTAATGCTTCTTGCAAATCGGTGGCTCCGGCGATGATGGCAAGCCTTGCTTCTTCAACTCCAATGCTTCTTTTGCTGTCAGCTCCTTTGGTGTTGTAGCAGTCTAGTTAACGAAAGAGAAGAAGATTCTCCTTGTGAGGTACAAGCCTTTGAATAACTTACTCTTTCAAAAACCTTAAAAAATGTTCATAAGTGTTTCTTAAATCTTATGGAATACGGGTCTTTCTGAACTGCAGCTCCAGGCTTCTAGAACAATCTTCATCTTTCTAATAAATACTGTACAATCATGCTGCTCCCAGCCCTTAAAAAATGCTACTCATAAGTAACATAATTTTGTATTTTGTCCATTTATTGATATTTTTACATATTTTATAATTTGAATAAAATTTGATAATTGAATGCATTTTAGTCTAACCCCGGTATTCATAAAAACCAACTTTAGTCGTAGTTCGAGCTAAAACTTAAAAATTACGTCATTTCGTATTCTTAAAATGAACTTTGACTAGCAGTACGACTAAATGATGCGAACCTCAACTAAAATGATACCTCTGCAGGACGATTTTTTTAGTCAGCTTAGGGTCAGGCTAAATTGCCAACTTGAAATATTTACCACACTAAAAACGTATTTTATGTAACTCACGATAAAGTGAAATAAATAAAACGATTGTATACGCAGGTCTGATATATCTTCGGTGCGTTAAACAAAAGAGACATCAAATTTAGCTTCCAAAAGGAGAAATTAACATGTTTTGCTAGCCACATGCGATAGTTCCTGATTTGCACGAAATCCCCTCGCGTTGCGGCCACGTAGCATCACAATAACAACAAACATGCCGTCGCCCTCGCTCGGGCTCAACAACATAGTTATCCAAAGAAAGCAAATTTTCAGTGACTTTCTCTATTGTAATGTGTTAACAACTAACATAGTTATTATTATTGAAAATTAATTAAGCGAATGATGGTCTATTAGGAATTATGAGGAAATACGTTTTTGAAGCACAGATGGCAGCTTAATATTCATTCGCGTTACCGGATCTCTAAAATTTTGTCTGCTATTAAAGTTAGCCCTTTTTATTGGATAGTTTGATAGCCGTGGCTTGCCAATCGTCTTCGGTTAAAATTTCGTCTGCGTTGTTTGTGAATAAAAATTGAAGTTGAAGTTGCAACTAGCACTAAATAAAGTTCTAGTTCGAAGTTCGACTAAAGTTATTTTAAGAATACGGGTGTATGTCTGTAGTCACAAATGTACCACTATGCAGACGTTTGTTGTGGAATTTGGAGCAGTATAAGTCCAATTATTAGATAGATTGAACAAATGTGATCTCCAAAAAAATTTAATTCAAAAATTTGTCTGTATAGTTATATAAGTTAACATATAACTTATATTTACTATACAGATGAATTATTATATTAGTTAACATATGTGGCAAAGACAAGCGAAACCAGTCATCGGTCGCAAAAATTGATTTTTAGTTATTAATACAGGGTTAAACAGAAAAATGAGAGCTATAAAATAGTAAAGTGAATCATTTAAATCCGACATTTCCTTATGAAGCATTCAAACACAGAGCTGTTTAAAGAACAATATCTGAGAAATCAGCCTTCAAAGTTTATGATTTCGGGTATTTCTCAGGCAGAGACCATCACCAAATTGTTAAAAAAAAATGATTTCCCCCAATTTTGACATTCCAGCATGTTTTGGCCATTATCTCTGAATGAAACACGAATTGGGATGAGTGACTGGTTTGGCTGTCTTTGCCACAAACGTTTGCCACATATATGTTTATCATTATTTTGAAGATTAAATACCACATATTTTTGCAGAAATAATATTAGAGTAAAAAAAATTCTTACTTCAGGCTGGAATTGATGCCAACCAGGCAACATTAAAGACATGTGAGCTCCTCTTGAGAGAAGGCCAAAGGACACTGGAGCATGCGGCTTAAGCAGGCCTAGCTTCTTCAGACAGATTTCATCTAAGCAGGTATCTAGGCCCCAAGCATGCAAGCAAGACATGTAAAGCTGAGCAATGTCTAGGGTAAGATGGCTTTCAAGCAGCGTTAGATGCTTAGCACCTCGATATGGCTGATACTCAGGGTCGGGGCTTCGTCCACCGCTCTTCTGTCCCCCTGATGCGCCTTTAGGTGGGTGGAGCTGATCGACATCAACGTCGTCATCATCATCATCGCTATCCCGTAGGTTTTCCATTTTTTTGGATATGAACCCAACAACTCTTTCCGTGAGCCTCGGAGATCGTTGCTGTTCTGACATGCGTGGGGATTTGACGTTTTGATTTTCTAGGCCTACGATTCCAGGTATCAAATTCTTATCCGTGAGTAGCTGTACAATCAATGCTTCGGTGTCGAAGAACAGTACGTGGAAATCAGAGTCCTTGGGATTGGCACGCATTGACTGGATGGTGAGTGCGTGCGATGGGTTGTGCGTGCTTTGTTCCAGCGTGTCCATGTTGTTTGCTTGGTTGCCTTGCGTGACGGCTATGATGCTTCGCTGGGCAGATCTTCTGATTGCAGCTAAGCTTCGGCGACGAAATGCTACCGCGATACTTTGGGTGGGAGTCAGCATTGTTTCGGAGGTAGCGCTAACTTGGTCACACGCATCCAAGATGTCTTCTGCTGTGTTGCCATGGACAATTCTATCCAAATGACCTATAAAAATTAATTATTAATATTTTGAGTTTTTGTTAAGTTACTGAATGAATAAGAATTATAGGTACACAATAACTTATAAAAATATAAATCCAAATATGTTAGCTTAAGAGGTATTTACAAATAAGAAAGTATACATATTATAGGGTAATTTATTCATTCTAAAAAATTTTCATTTAATTACATTTCCTTGGTGGCAACAATTTAAAGAAAAAAAATAGACATGAAAACACGACAAAATTCATGAACTAAACATTCAACATGTTTATTGAGATCCAAAAATTTGGTATCTATAAATTCACTTTACACGCATTGAAAACATGGTATTAAAAAGATGACATCTGTGATGTTTGTAAAAGACAAAAGTCATAAAATCAAGCTAAACTTTCCATGTATGTATTAAACCTTAATGCTTGTTGGACTAAAAATATATATTATCATATCTTTGCCATTTGTAATTACAAAAATCCGATAATGTCATTTTCCTTTTTTGGAGAAAAGAGCCTGCTTTTGCTAGAGTGGGTCACATTTGTACCTGTTTCCATTTGCCAGACATACACGCTGCCATCTTGACAACCAACAATGAGAAAGTCCTCTGCAGGTCTCCACTTAATCTGCTTGACAGGGAACAGATGCCTGCCAGCTAGCATGACGCACTTGCGATCCCGCAAACTCAACAGTGCCACCGAATGATCACTGGCTACGGAGCAGACACACATCAACACACGGCTCTACAGAAGAATGTATGAGAAATATGATTTTGTTGCGGCCCACAAAAATAAATTAAAAACCTTATCTTTGGTTAGAAAACCCCCTTATTTTGTACGACCTCGCACCAATTATCTGTTAAAAGTAATGTTAAAACTAAGCACGAAGAGGTATAGTACAAAATCACAAACATTTTTATAAGCAAACTGTTAAATCAAAACTTCAATTTGGCCCTCTAACATATATTTTTATGCCTACCACCAGTTTATAGTATTCAGAATAAATAAATAAATATATAAAATGAATATACTTTTACTTACATTACAATTATCTGGTGGAAGCACCATTCTTGTTATCTCTCCACCATGGACTGAGTAAGTGTGTAGTAGTGAACCGGCAAATATGTCCCACAGACACACACTAAAGTCTGTACCACCAGAAACTAAGAATTTGGGATCGTACCGCACTGACTCCTGGTACGGATAGATTAGGCATGTGACCTTTCCTTGGTGACCTCTAAGGATCCTATGAGGGGGCCAGCCTACAGGGGAAAAAATTATGAAATAGACAAAAATGAAACAGAAAAAAAAAAAAGAATTAAATTACATCAATTAATAATCTGTACAGCAATAATTAAATAATTATTATTCTTTTTCTGTTTACATTCTCTTCGATCACTCAATCAATCAATCAATCAATCTTATATGAAGTTTCAAATTCCATCACAAAGTTTTTAAATTTGTGGAAGTGATTTGGTGCAGCGGGAATGGCTTGGTTTCCCAAACTCGAGGTTGGGGGTCTCAATCCCTTGTGGTGCATTTCACTTGTGTCCTTGAGCAAGGCACTTTATCTGCATTGCTTCTCTCTCCACCCAGGAATATAAGTGGGTACCTAAGGAGGTTTGAGTGCAAAATGTGTTGATATATTTCATGCAGCAAAAAATTTTCCCCATAGGCATCGTTCCAATGACTGGGGTAATAATGTGGAAAAGCAGCTCTGAGACTTAGTTGTATAGAGTGCTATATAAAATCCTACATACTATTATAAAGTAATGTTCGGTGACAATCAATCAAAGGAAATGGTTCAATTTATGAGTACACAAGGCTATCTAATGTAAAATTGTTTTACCTCTTCTCGCAGTGTGGAGTCCCTCGAGAAGTTGAACGATTGCAGTTTGAGTGGCTGGTACGATCACCACACTACCATCTTCCCTGCCGCACACTAGACGCCCATACTCCGCTAAGTAAATGCTGGCTGTCACAGCTACGGATCGTTCTTGCCGCTTCTTGCTTTTAGTATTCTTAAAAAAAAAAAAAATAAACAAAAAAAAAACCCAAAAAAAAAACCATGTAAAATATTACACTGTTCTTAAGATTAAAAATAATTAGCAAAAACTGAATTGTTGTGATCTGTGTTTCTTTGAAAATTGATAACTAATTAATCCAAGATAAAAATAATGATAATTAGATTTTAGTGATTTTGAATTAATAAACATCCATAATCATGTACAATAAGAACAATAACTAAGATTATCACAAATCCCACGTGCATGATTTCTTTGGAAATGTACTGATTATTCAGTGCAATAACATGTCACGTAGGGCAAAACATCGCTCCTATATTACAATAACGTTCTTATTCCAGAAGTCTTATAGAAATATGAAAGGAATACTCACAAGCTGATCAATTATTCCTGCTGGACGAGGCTGACAACTGTTCCAACAGTCAGAGAGACTACGACTTGCTGAGGGCGGCATAACTATGGGTCGAAGTTCAACATAATAATCAACGTATTAAAGAATATTTAAAAATTAAATCTTTAAATCTAAGGGCCAGTAATTAAGATTGCCAATAAGGCTATTTTTTAAAATATTGTTGAACAATAAATTGATCAATGTACTGTATTTAAACACTTACCTGGCAGAGTATCAAATTCCTCTTGTTTGAGAAATCCAAGTTCTTTGTCTGATATTTCAGGGACCAACCAAGTGTTCAGCTGTCCATTGGAATCGCCACGCACAAACAGCTTGAACAATGCCCCACGACGACCGTAGAAGAACGTCATTGCTGGCGGACATGACAGAGGCTGCAAAGATATTTATAACAATTTAGTTCAAAACACAAGTCTAGATATATTTCCTTTATAATATGCAACATGGAGATCAGATACCATGCACGTAGTTACAAGATATGTACAGTGCTACTACATATTATCTGGTCAAACCTACTTTGCTACCTTTAATACAACATAGCTATAATTGGGGAATACTATAAGAGACTTCATAAGTTGACTGCAAAGGTTGGGTATGTAGTAACACTAGTCAGAGGTCACCTACTATTAAAAGCTGTTTAATAGTTTCTTCATTTTTTTTATTGAGACATATTATTAGGCTGACTGAAATGGAATTACAAATCTCCCCTCCAATTGAAGTCCGCTTTAACGACCAAGGTTTTCATAGTCTTTAGCAGCTTTGGTCTTTGAATAAATAATAATAATAATAATAATAATAATATTTATAAAGTGCACAAATCCACTGCAGTAGTGCTCAAAAAATATTATCAAAAAGATATAAGATATTCATTCATTCTGGCCTGCAGAAATATGGTCTTTAATTGGAGGTGGCATTTTATTGGAGAGGTCTTTAATTAGAGGGAGACCTGTCTTTATGATACTATATCTATTTTGTAGTTGTAATACCTTTAGCTCAGGAGGTTCCAAGATACAGTACAAGAACGGCTGGCTTACAGCTTCTGGCCCTTTACCCACACTGTACCTAAAGTCCTCACTATCTGCAACACAGCTGTACAAAAACAGATAAAATTGCTTAGATGACAGAATTCAAATGTAATTAATATCAAATATGTTACAAGAAATTAACAATTTCCCCAGTGGATTTTTGTAATTACGTGAGTGTTCTTCGTTGGTAGGTGTTCTTCACTTTCCACCAGGAAAACGGTAGTATTGTGGTCGTAGTTATACTTCCTGTTATGCCAACTCATGTGGTCATACAAGTCCGTGTTGAAATATTTTACCTAATTTTTTTTTAAAAGGCAGTCGCTATTGTTACACCAGTCTTAAACTAATTCCTAATCCTGACTGGATGTTATTCCTCTCTAGATATATACAAAAGTCAGTGGGTATTTGGTCTATTTATATTTTTTATTTGTAATATTTACATAGCACCATTCCTTCAGGTCAGAAAGCGCTTTGTTTTTCCCTGGTCATCTTAAGTGTTGCTCCCATATTGGCGCAGTAGCAAGCAACCCCACCAGACACCCATTTATATTCCTGGGTGGAGAGAAGCAACGTAGATAATGTGCCTTGCTCAAGGACACATACGAAATGCACAGCGAGGGATTAAAAAACCCAGACCTTGCCAAACGGTTCCCGCTGCGCCAAATCACTCTGGACTATTAGTCTATTGGTCAACATGCTTGCCCACCCAATCCCATTTTCTCACGCAACAGAAAACCATTCCACTCCTGAAGACTCAACAATAGACTCGGTAACAAAAGAATTGTGGTCCTATGGATCACCTAATTAGGTAAATCACCGACATTAAATTTTTTTTGTGTAACAGAATGTGTATGAAACTAACTTTGATGAAAGTTGATAAAGGTAGGCTTTGCCATCGTTGCTCCAGACAATGACACGATCCGCGGCCAAGAAGTCTCCGCCAGCCCACTGAAGACCTCTGTGACAGAACTCGGAACACAGTAGAGCGAAGTCGATAGTGTCGTACACTTGCCAATACTTGCCACATACTATCAGCATTGTCCGGAGGTTGAATGCACAAGGGCTGAGGGAGTGAGCAGTCAGGCATCGCAGTGGCTTACACTGCTCCTCGTAGATGGGCTCTGAGGCCTAGGAAGAGGTAATTAAAAAATTGATGGGATACAGCTGCTGTTTATATTACATGCTCCCAAGCTTGCTTGCTGGATTAAATTATAAATATATTTCTATTAGCTAATTGAAGTAATTGAGTAATTAGCATAAGAATTTGGCAGTACTTTTACTCATAACATTGGTAATTAAGTCGATTTCAGTATGATCTATCATTTTTAAGCTTACAATGTCGAGAATAGAGATATAATGTATTAAAAAGTTTATATTCCTGTTTCGGTCACTCATGCTTGTCTTGGCATGGCATGCCTCAATTAGATTATTACAAAACTTCACTATGTATTCACTACTGTAAATACAATCCATTAAAGTATTTCAATTTGTGTACTGAACAAACACTTTTTCCCTATATAAGAGCCATTAAATATTTAAATTTGTATAATACATACTCTAAGTATCGAAATGCACACCATCGTGTCGGGATTCAATATTTCGACATTAATTATGTCATCATCAGGAATTAATTATGTCATCATCAGGAATTAATTATATCATCATCATTCCTGAAGATGACATAATTAATGTCGAAATATTTAATCCCGACACGATGGTGTGCATTTCGATATTTGCAGTATGTATTATATGATCTTATCTAAGATTAATTTGTGGACCTTTCGGTATTTAAATTTGTATTGTATAAATTTAACAATACTGATTCACTACAAGATGAATTGAAATATTTAAATGAATTGGTTTACATCTTTGTCATAGATGGGTTACAGACAATTAAAGTAATTCATCTAAAAACAATAAAATAACAGCAACTATTAAGATTTTACTTAATATTGTAATGATGCTTAGGTTACCTTGCTTTCTTTTCCTGATAAAGCCCAAATCTTTAGCATCCCAGAAGTGGACAATGCTATCACTGTATCCTCTGCAAAAAAATATACAAACATCAACATTTTGTGTCAATAAATTTTGTATTTAATTCAATTTAATTCAATTCAATACGTTTATTCATTTCATCATAGAAAACAATAAAATAGATAATCAAATATTTGTTAAAATACTTGATGACACTGGAGCTCATTTAAACCTCATAGAGATTGTACAGTTATGAGTCCATTAGTAAATAAAATGGTTTTATTCAAATACATTAAAATAGTTAAAAGATCAAATAAAATATAATAATAATAATAATACTAATAATAATAATAACAATAATATAAAATATAATTGAAAATGCATTAATTTAAATAATTGAATAATGCACTAGTGCATTATTTAATTTAAATAACTGAATAATGCACTAATAATTTAAATAACTGAATAATGCACTAATAATTTAAATAATTGAATAATGCACTAATAATTTAAATAAATGAATAACGCACTAATAACTTAAATAATTAAATGCATTAATAATTAAAAAATTGAATAATGCATTAACACTTTAATTAAATAATGCATTACCTTGTCTTTTGAGAGGCCTCATAATGCTCATGGCGCAGATCCAATCAGGCGAGAATTTTGAAGTTAATGAAAAGAGCGGTATCAAGCTAACCGCATCAATAACCTGAATATCAGGATAGTAGCCCCGGCACAGAATACGGGATTCGCGGTTAATAC